AAGTACACCAGAGCACTGTAAGCAATTGGTTTTGATTTTAATTTGATTTCAACAAAATGGTCTTTTTGACCAAATGATCTCAATGAAATGGTGTAGACTGATCATAATCATCCCCATAGCAACCAAATAAAAACATGCATTCAATCTCTTCCTCCTAATATTTCTTGCTCAGATCATACATCGATTGTCCCTAAAAACAAAGCATGTATCCATAACAACCAAATCGTTTTGTGCATTGTCAGGAAAGACCTCTAAATAATATATAAATTAGAATGATTTTCTGCTAAAATAAAATTATAATAACCATAATAATGGACCATTTTATGTTCACTGCAAGGTCTAGTGTTATGTGTGAAATCAAACGTAAAAACATGCAAATGAAGGTCATAGTGGTATCAAAACATGGCATTTAACACTAAATTATTTTTAGGATATTTCCTATCTTGATTAATATGCTATATATATGTAATGATTAATTTTGATGAAGTACAGATATATCAATTTCATATTCCCCTTAGTTAGGAATTTAGACATTGAACTATAAAAACAGAAATTCAAATCATTTGATTTTTCAGCAGATATAAGAACCACTCGTTATGTGAGAACTCGCATTGAACAGAAAATCACCTGCTTTATATTCTGGCACATATCCATAAATAAAACTTCACACAGCCTTGATGACCTTTGTTACAGCAAGTCTCAGAAGTATTGGGGCAGTCAATTTGCAAACTTGCTAGCGAATTGGTTAACTGCTTGGGTTTTGGCTAAACAGTTGGCTTTCGAATTTCGCTGGCGCCGTCTTGTGATCGCGTCCACATACGGCGAATCTATATAACAGTAGGGGGACGATCGTCATACTTGAGGAGCTAATCAGCGACGGTTTTACAGTTGGGTGGCGATTTCGCTTTCAAATATACTAGGGAAAGTGTTCTATTTATTTTGTATCTACGTAAAAATAGGGAATGACTTTTTTAGCAGTCTGCTTAATTTTACCCCAACAGATTTTTTGTATGTGAAAGTTTATTTTCTCTCTGATTTGTAGGAAAATGTTTCTCAACTTGACTATTTACATTTTGTAGTTTCAAGCAGTGTTCAAGATAATAATCGCATTTATCATATTACCACTTGTACGCCAGCTGACTGGTTATTTCCAGGCTCAAACCGGAGGGCTCAAATTACTCAGGGGAATCCAGACATGTACCAGGCTGCATAAAAAGCATTCTATGTCGCCTACTGCAATATAGACTCTCCCAGAGTGGACGTGATCACAAGTCGACGCCAGCGAGATGCGAAAGCCAATCCTTTAGTCAAAACCCAAGCAGTTAGCCAATTCGCTAGCAAGTTTGCCAATTGGCTGCCCCAATACTTCTGAGACTTGCTGTAATATTTTTGTAAATTAAAAATGGTTTGCCAAAAAAGCATTTTGTACACTCAGGTATACATCGCCTTATAATAAGTTGCAAACTCAGGGTGTCCATCAATTACAGTTTATTATTATCTTGTATCAACACTTATTTCTTGTGCCATGGAGTGCTGACAGTATTAACTTCAATTTTAAATATGATACAATTATTCCAACCCTTAGTCGTGTATGTTATTTGTAGAAGTTATTAAAGATGGATGTAAGGGCATACAAATTTGCAATGAAGAACTTATTGAAATTATGCAATGTCATTTTCATACTTTGAAAGTAACATTTTCATGCCTGTCTATCAAACTAATCAAAGAATGCCATTGACACATCACAGAATTCTAGTGTTACATCATAGAATCCTATTGATACATCATTTAATGCAATTGATACATCACAGAATTCTAGTGATGCATCATTGAATGCCATTGACACATCACAGAATTCTCGTGATACATTATTGAATGCCATTGATACATTACAGAATTCTAGTGTTACATCATTGAGTGTCATTGATACATCACAGCATCCTAGTGATACATCATAGAATCCTATTGATACATCATAGAATCCTATTGATACATCATTTAATGCAATTGATACATCACAGAATTCTAGTGATACATTATTGAATATTTTGATACATCACAGAATTCTAGTGATACATTATTGAATATTTTGATACATCACAGAATTATAGTGATACATTATTGAATATTTTGATACATCACAGAATTCTAGTGATACATTATTGAATATTTTGATACATCACAGAATTCTAGTGATACACCAATGAATGCAATTGATACATCATAGAATCCTATTGATACATCATTGAATGCAATTGATACATCACAGAATTCTAGTGATACATCATTGAATGCCATTGACACATCACAGAATTCTAGTGATACATTATTGAATGCCATTGATACATTACACTATCCTAGGGATACATAATTGAGTGTCATTGATACATCACAGCATCCTAGTGATACATCATAGAATCCTATTGATACATCATTTAATGCAATTGATACATCACAGAATTCTAGTGTTACATTATTGAATATTTTGATACATCACAGAATTCTAGTGATACATCATAGAATGCCATCGATACATCACAGAATTCTAGTGATACATCATAGAATGCCATTGATACATCACAGAATTCTAGTGATACATCATTGAATGCAATTGATACATCATAGAATCCTATTGATACATCATTGAATGCAATTGATACATCACAGAATTCTAGTGATACATCATTGAATGCAATTGATACATCACAGAATTCTAGTGATACATTATTTAATGCAATTGATACATCACAGAATTCTAGTGATACATCATTGAATGCCATTGATACATTACACTATCCTAGGGATACATCATTGAATGTCATTTATACATCACAGCATCCTAGTGATACATCACAAAATGCCATTGATACATCACAGAATTCTAGTGACACATCACAGAATGCCATTGATGCATCACAGAATTCTAGTGACGCATCATAGAATGCCATTGATACATCACAGAATCAGAGTGATACATCAACGAATCCTAGTGATACATCATTGGATGCCATTGATGTATTACAGAAGGCCATTGATATGCAACAAGTAGACATAAAATGGCATTGTTATAAAATATTCAATAGTATTCATAAGTGAAATTCACCCATTAAGGTAATTCACATTTCTAAAGATTTGCGTCTTTCAGTTTCTGATGTCTCAATGAGATGTCCCACTACCGGTAGTTATGTACCCTCACCACTTTATCCAAATTCTTCTTTTTAATTCTTTCTGTAATGTTATGTATTTAAAGATTATCTGATTCACACCATATTTTATTGATCAATGAATAAATTGTGTGATATCATTGTAAAATGAAAGTGCTTTTGTGCTTTGTAATTTTTTATAATTCATATCTCTGGTCAGATGCATCTATAATTATAACATACTTATAACAAAGCCAAAATGGTAGTTTAGAATATTCAATTTGAGTATACACTTTGATATTGACCAGTTTGGAATATTCAATTTGAGTATACACTTTGATATTGACCAGTTTAGAATATTCAATTTGAGTATACACTTTGATATTGACCAGTTTAGAATATTCAATTTGAGTATATTGATCAATTAACACAGTGCTCATGTGTATGTTTTATTGCATAAAATATTAAATTGAGAAAGTAGCAGCAAAGCGTATAGATAGTAAAAATTATTTTTCATGCTATACACTCTTACTATGATTACCACTAGTAATCATGCTCTGAGTCAACTGTACACACGTCACTAATTTTTCTAAATATATCTAGTAAATCTTGGGGAGTGACCACTCACCCAAATCATGATCCAGAAGAGCTAATTATATCACTCTCCAACATAACATAACTCTTTAACATCTGAAGAGATTTTAATAGCGCAGGAGAGCCATTTAGCTCACAAGTCATTTTTTAAAAATATGTTTGAATGTTTACATATGTTTAATAGAGTCTAAAGTAGTAACTATTTTCCTGGTTTAAATGGCCGGCTGTTCACAATTTGGATAGGTGGTCAAACAAAATTTTTTTTTTATGAGAGAAATGATTTTTATAAAAATTGAATTTGTTACTGGTACATGTAAACTATGAAGAAAAGACCAGTTGAGGAAATAAAATAAGACAAGGAATTGCCAGTATGAAATAACACAGGCCCTCTATAGGACATTGAGTACACTTCAGTCATCTTTTCAAACAGAGTTCTCAAATAGACTTTATAGACTGGTGGACATTGGATTGATTTTTTTATGGATTGCCAACAATACATTCAGCTTATTATTTGTCCAAAAAAATAATAAGATGATACTCATTTTTTGAGTTGAGCAAAATGGAAATCGAATAAAGTTTTACTTTAGAAGAAATTATTTTATGAAGAGACTGATGATAATTAAAACCTCCAAGTTTAAAACGCATGGTACAAATATTTTCACTGTATTAATTCACAAAACATACATCTCCCATTTAAAAAAAAAGCCACGATGACAAAAACAGGTTTAAAAACATCAAAGAATCGCCTCCGCCTCCCACTTTTTGACTCCCATGTGCGAAGCACATAATGGGAGTCTTTGCAGTTAGTGTGTCTGTGTGTGTGTATGTGTGTATGTATGTATGTGTGTCCGACTGTTCCACTGCTATCTCAAGAACCATACATCGGTTTTTGATGAAACTTGGTGTATAGATGCTCTGGGCCAATGCGCAGATTTGATTAGGTTTTGGTAAAAATCCATGCTCGTTAATTACCTAATTTGCATGATAATTAGCTGATTTTTAGCTGTTCTATGACTGTTC